AGGATTTACTCGCTTTTAGTGTTTGTACTGCTGCTGGTCGGGCCAGAAAAGATACTGAAGTGTTTTAAAAAGAATTGAAACCCAGGAAAAAAAAAATCTCAATCTCCTTTTCCACTGGGGTGGGTCCTGTCCCACCATCAACCCCTCGAGAAGCTGAGCCCTTCCACGCTCCTGTTTTTGTTTTTTTTATTTTTATTTTTACCCTTTTTCTTTGCTTTCTGGAGCTTTTTCTGCTCCAGCTGGGTCGTCGTGGGTGTCACGGTGCTGGGAGGTGTCTGAGCCTTGCCAAGCTCCATCTGCCAAATGAAAAACCCCAAAACCCCAAGGAATTGGTGCCGAGAGGGCGGCGGGTTGGGGGGTGGGTGGCACTGGGGTGTCCTTGTCCCCCCACCAAAATCAGACAATCAGAGCGGCTCTAAGGCAGCCTGGGCACAGGGAGAGGGACCCTGTGGGGTCTCTTGGTGGCACCTTGGGGACAATCCGGGTGGAGCCGTGCCCGCAGGCGGGCAGGGATGTCCTGGTGCCACCGGGCTGCGGTGACAGGGTCAGGCTCGGTGCCGTTTTTAGCAGCTTTCGTGGCGTGCCCCACCTCCCCCGGGGCGAGCCTTTTTTTTTCTTTTTTTTGATTGTTATTTTTAAATTATTTATTAGAAATTGTTTTTAATTCGCCACGAGACCGGCTCACATCTCCGGGAAAAAAAGGTGACCTCTGCTTCCTGCTTTAAATTCCCTCGCTGCACTCGCAAAGAAAAAGCATTAACCCTCCCCACGCCCCCCCTGCTCCCTGCTCTCCCATTGGCTTCACCAAATAATAATAAAAAAAAAAAGCTGGGCGAGATTAAAAAGCAAAATGCCCTTGTGACAGAAATTAGTTTAATCTTTTTTAAATCCCCAATTGCCTCGCCAGCCTCTGGCCTCGCCGCTGCCAACTCCGGGCTTCACAGGGAATTTTAACACGGCAAAATGCGCTCGTTGCTGCGCTCTTTTCCCTTCCTGTGTGCCGTGGCAGAGGGAGGGGGAGAGAAGCCAGGGATGGAAAATCGTTGGCAATTTCTCCCTCGCGGCGCTGAGGAGCCTGGCTGGGATGCAGCCACGCTTTGCAGCAGCTCCTGGGCTGACTTTCCCCTCCTCACCAGCCTGGATTTGGGGTTTTTTGGACCGATTTTCCACCCCCCTGCCGGGGTTTTGAGCATTTGTGTCCGTGCAGAATCGCTGGAGCAGCTGTGCCAGAGCCTGGAAAGGCTGGGAGGAAGGAGAGGAAGGCAGAGCCTGCTGGGGGCAGGTTGGATGCTGTGAAACAACAACAAAAAAAAACCCCAAAAAAAGGAGAAAAACCCAGCCCTAAACATGTTCAAAGTGTACTCGTTGGAATTAATTGTAATGTAATATATTATTTGTTGAATGTAGTAATTAGGTATTTATGAATATATTGCTGTAATTCCTGAAAACATCCAAAAAAAAAACCCCAAAATAAACTCTTCCACCATGACGGCGAGGAATCCTTTCTCCAGCGCTGCCAGCGGCGTTGGGAAAACAGCCCTGCACCAAGCGTTCCTAACCCTGTTCTGAGCATCCCCAGCCCTGCTCCGAGGATCCCCAGCCCTGCTCCGAGCGTTCTCAGCCCTTCTCTGTGCTCCCAGCCTTGCTCCGAGCACCCCCAGCCCCGCTTTGAGTGCTCTCATCCCCACTCCGAGCATCCCCAGCCCTGTTCCGAACATCTCCAGCCCTGCTCTGAGCATCCCCCGCCCCGCTCAGAGCATCCCCAGCCCCGCTCAGAGCATCCCCNGCCCCGCTCAGAGCATCCCCAGCCCCGCTCAGAGCATCCCCAGCCCCGCTCAGAGCATCCTCAGCCCTGCTCTGAGTGCTCCCAGCCTGCTCCGAGCATCCCCAGCCCCGCTTTGAGTGCTCTCATCCCCACTCCGAGCATCCCCAGCCCCGCTCTGAGCATCCCAGGCCCGCTCTGAACATCCCAGCCCCACTCCGAGCTTTCTCAGCCCTGCTCTGTGCTCCCAGCCCCGCTCTGAGCGTCCCCAGCCCCGCTCCGAGTATCCCCATCCCTGCTCTGAGTGTTCCCAGTCCTGCTCTGAGCATCCCAGGCCCACTCTGAGCATCTGCAGCCCTGCTCCGAGCATCCCCAACCCCGCTCCGAGCATCCCCAGCCCTGCTCTGAGCATCCCCAGCCCCGCTCCGAGCATCCCCAGCCCTGCTCCGAGCATCCCCAGCCCCACTCCGAGCATCCCCAGCCCTGTTCCAAACATCTCCAGCCCTGTTCCGAGCATCTCCAGCCCTGCTCTGAGCATCCCCCGCCCCGCTCAGAGCATCCCCAGCCCCACTCAGAGCATCCTCAGCCCTGCTCTGAGTGCTCCCAGCCCTGCTCAGAGCATCCCCAGCCCTGGTCCGAGTGTTCTCAGCCCTACTCTGTGCTCCCAGCCTTGCTCCGAGCATCCCCAGCCCCGCTTTGAGTGCTCTCATCCCCGCTCCGAGCATCCCCATCCCTGCTCTGAGCATCCCCAGCTCCTCTCTGAGTGCTCCCAGCCCTTCTCTGAGCATCCCCAGCCCTGCTCAGAGCATCCCCATCCCTGCTCTGAGCATCCCCAGCCCTGTTCCGAGCATCTCCAGCCCTGCTCCGAGCATTCTTAGCCCTGCTCCATGCTCCCAGCCCAGCTCCGAGCATCCCCAGCCCCGCTCTGACTGTCCCCAGTCCTCTCTGAGCATCCCCAGCCCTGCTCCGAGCATCCCCAGCCCCACTCTGAGCATCCCAGGCCCGCTCTGAGCATCCCAGCCCTGCTCCGAGTGTTCCCAGCCCTGCTCCGAGTGTTCTCAGCCCTGCTCCGAGTGTTCCCAGCCCCACTCAGAGCATCCCCATCCCTGCTCAGAGCATCCCAGGCCTGCTCAGAGCATCCCCAGCCCCGCTCTGAGCATCCCCAGCCCTGCTCAGAGCATCCCCAGCCCCGCTCTGAGCATCCCCAGCCCCTCTCTGAGTGCTCCCAGCCCTTCTCTGAGCATCCCCATCCCTGCTCAGAGCATCCCCATCCCTGTTCCGAGCATCCCCAGCCCTGCTCCGAGCGTTCTTAGCCCTGCTCCGTGCTCCCAGCCCTGCTCTGAGTGTCCCCATCCCTGCTCTGAGCATCGCCATGCCTGCTCTGAGCATCCCCATCCCTGCTCTGAGCATCCCAGTCCTGCTCTGAGCATCCCCATCCCTGCTCTGAGTGTTCCCAGTCCTGCTCTGAGCATCCCAGCCCCGCTCTGAGCATCCCCATCCCTGCTCTGAGTGTTCCCAGTCCTGCTCTGAGCATCCCAGCCCCACTCCGAGCATCCCCAGGCCCGCTCCAAGCGTTCCCAACCCTGCTCAGAGCATCCTCAGCCCTGCTCTGATTGCTCCCATCCCTGCTCCAAGCATCCCCAGCCCCGCTNCCCCAGCCCCGCTTTGAGTGCTCTCATCCCCACTCCGAGCATCCCCAGCCCTGTTCCGAACATCTTCAGCCCTGCTCCGAGCATTCCCAGCCCTGTTCCGAGCATCTCCAGCCCTGCTCTGAGCATCCCCAGCCCCGCTCAGAGCATCCTCAGGCCTGCTCAGAGCATCCTCAGCCCTGCTCTGAGTGCTCCCAGCCTGCTCCGAGCATCCCCAGCCCCACTTTGAGTGCTCTCATCCCCACTCCGAGCATCCCCAGCCCCGCTCTGAGCATCCCAGGCCCACTCTGAGCATCTGCAGCCCTGCTCAGAGCATCCCCAGCCCTTCTCCGAGCATCCTCAGCCCTGCTCTGATTGCTCCCATCCCTGCTCCGAGCATCCCAGCCCCACTCCGAGCATCCCCAGCCCTGCTCCGAGCATCCCCAGCTCCACTCCGAGCATCCCCAGCCCTGCTCCGAGCATCCCCAGCCCTGCTCCGAGCATCTCCAGCCCTGCTCCAAGCGTTCTTAGCCCTGCTCCGTGCTCCCAGCCCTGCTCCGAGCGTCCCCATCCCTGCTCCGAGCATCCCAGCCCTGCTCCGAGCGTCCCCATCCCTGCTCTGAGCATCCCCATCCCCGCTCAGAGCATCCCCAGCCCTGCTCTGAGTGTTCCCAGCCCCGCTCTGAGCATCCCCAGCCCTGCTCAGAGCATCCCCAGCCCTGCTCCGAGCATCCCAGCCCCACTCCGAGCATCTCCAGCCCCGCTCTGAGTGCTCCCATCCCTGCTCAGAGCATCCCCAGCCCTGTTCCGAGCATCCCCAGCCCTGCTCCGAGCATCCCCAGCCCTGTTCCGAGCATCTCCAGCCCTGCTCCGAGCGTTCTTAGCCCTGCTCCGTGCTCCCAGCCCTGCTCCGAGCGTCCCCAGCCCTGCTCTGAGCATCCCAGCCCTGCTCTGAGCATCCCCATCCCTGCTCTGAGTGTTCCCAGTCCTGCTCTGAGCATCCCAGCCCCGCTCTGAGCATCTGCAGCCCTGCTCAGAGCATCCCCAGCCCTGCTCCGAGCATCCCCATCCCAGTTCCGAGCCTTCCCAGCAGATCCTGCCATCCTCCCGGCTGTGCCAGCCCTTTGGGGGCGGGCAGGGCACAGATGGCAGYGGGAGCCTGGCCCAGCTGCTCGGGGAAGGGCAGCTCTGGCACCCTCGGGCGCCAGCGATAATTACAGCTGCCATCAGCACAGGCTGGCTCCTGATCCTGCCCTCGAATCCTGCCCTGGATCCTGCTCTCAGATCCTGCCCCCAATCCTGCCCTCGGATCCTGCCCTTGCCTGTGCTCTGCCGCAGGGAGAAAGGCCCTGAGCCAAAGCAGAGCTCCAGGTTCTCTCTCCCAAGCCGTGTTTAACCCCTGCCTGTGGCACAGCCCCGGGATTAATTCCATGCCGCTCTTCAGCTGCAGTTATTTTTTATTATGGTTGGTTTTTTGTTTTTTTTTTTTGACAGACAGTTTCAGATTAAAAGCCAAAGCATTACAAAAATAAAGATGGATGATATTATGGTGTTTCCCCACAGCCTGCTGCTACAGAGGGAAAACCATTTTCTTTTGTCCTTCTCCAAAGAGCAGATGGATCTGCTTCCCAGCTGATCTCCCCAGCAGACACCTCATTGCCGGCACATCTTCTTTTTTTTTTTTTTCTTTTTCCTTTTTTTTTTTTTTTTCCCAAGGCTCTGAGAAAATCCATGGAAGCACCGCCTCGAAATTTATGGCTTTCAAGGCAGCGTGTGGCCTGTGCTGCCCTCAGAAGTTCCCTCGCTGAAGTACAACCCGAGTGATCCGCCCAGCCACTCACCGCCTGCTCCAAGGCTCCCGGGGATGCTCTGGAGCCATTCCCACCCGGCCCCGAGGRGGGATGAGGGTTGGGAGCTCCGTGCAGGGAGGTGGGGGCTGGCAGGGTGAAGGAATTTATTCCTTCCCAGATCCCTCTCAGAAATCCTGGGAGTGGGAGCTCTCGCCAGGCTGCAGGTTAGTCCGGAGCTTGTACATGTGATCCAAGGCCTGGGTGAGGAAAGTCCTGGTGGTGTTGATTTCCATTAAGGTTAAGTTATCCACCTGAAAAGGGAAATGACAGGATTTGGGAAGACGAGGCACTCGGGAAGCAGCTCACAGCCCACAGTTCCCTTCAGTGACACCCCAAGGGACGGACCCAGCTGCCACCCTGCTMAAGAGAAGCACCCAAGCACTGTTCCAAGAGCATTCCCCACCCCTGGAARTGTTCAAGACCAGGCTGGATGGGTCTARTGAAAGATGGAATGGCAGAGGGTGGAATATCTTTAACATCCAACCCCAACCATTCCAYAAAACCTCTGCCCAGAGTGCTGCCAAGCGCGGGCTCAACACTCGGCTCTCRCTCCCCAGTGATACCTCCACAACCCAGGATGAGCCTGCCCCAGCCACGCTTTTCCCAGCAGCTCATTCCTCATCCCTCAGCACCCCTGGGACAGCWGRATCCCCCTGGGATGAGCTCCCAGCYCACCTTGGCATGAACCTCCTGCTGCCTCACAAAGCTGTCTGCGGACAGGCGCAGCTTGGCCATGCGCGTGTCCCACGTGTCCTTCACCAGCGTGCGGATCTCGTCCGCTCTGGGGATGTTATCAGAGGCACTGGAGCAGGGAAAGCAAAGGGGAGGATCAGAGCAGGCTGGGAGGGCTGTGGTTGTGTCACTGTGGTTGTGTCACCGAGCTCTGTGGTTGTGTCACCGAGCTGTGTTGTCACCGTCTTGTTCCCCCCCCGAGGCGCTCACAGGACAGCTCGCTAAAAACCTGCGACTCCACGTGAAAATCCGCTCTGCTCCTCGCGCTGCTGGGATTTCTGGGATGGTTTTTTTTTTACCCAGGAATGCTCAGCTCCAATGCAGCAGCTGGCTGTCGCTAAAATCCTTCTGCTCTTTAATTGCCCAGCTGGTGCGAGGCTCACACGGGGCCCCTAACCCGGCCAAAGTCACAGCCAGCCGGGGAATCCGAGGGCTCAGCCACGATGAAATCCCCAGCTCAGGGCTCCYGGGGCTCCATCAGGGAGAATTAAGCTGGAAGGGCTGCATGGGATGTGCCACATGGCCCCATTAAGGACCTTGGGAGACGCGATGGATGCGCACGGACAGAGCTGTCGGGGTCGCTGGAGCGTGCTGGGATGGAGCTGCACGCCAGGAGCTCCATCTCCAGAGGGAAAGCCAGAGCTGGAGACTGCCCACCCCGCTTAATCGAGGSCTTAGAGTCAGCAGAGCCCTCGCCGAGACAAATACCAGCCAGCACATTTTACAAGTGAAATGCCTCAGCAGGCAGGCAGGCAGGAGCTCAGGCTCGGAATATCCCCGGCCTCCTGCTTCCCAGGCTGAGGCAAGAGGAGCTTTCCTCCTGAAGGAGAGCCAAGGAAGGAGCCTGGAGGCTTCAGGCTGCCGAACAGATTGCAGCCGTGGAAYGTGCGGCGGATCCTCGGGGCCTCCACGCTGAGCTGCTGCTCAATAAAGCAGCACAGCCCCGATGACGAGGCCATGGAACAGCCTCCCCCACGCTCCCAAAACACAGAGTCGCCAAATCTTGGCAGGCTGAGGGGTGAAGCTCCCTTGGATCTGCCTTTCCCCACCGCCCCGCGGGGCTGCTGCCAAGCAGAGCTTGAAAAATCGCCCGTGCTCACACGTAGCGGGGTGGGAAATGGCTCCTACTCACTAATTCAGCAGCAGCTTGGTGAGCTCCATGTAGTAGGGGCTGGGCATCGGGGTGAAGGTGTCCTCTTTGCGTTCCTGATCCCGGATTTCCTCCAATTTCCCTAAAATACAACCGGTGATGCTCAGATGCTGCCAAGCCTTCAGTGCTCCAGGTGGATTTTTAACCCTCGCCAGGAAAACCCACGTTGTTTCTGTAGGATCAGCTCARTGTCTGAGCTTCAAAGGGTGTGAGGGCAGGAAAAGGCTCCTGGGAGGAGGCACACTAGGGACATGGATCCCTCCAAGGTTTCCTACCTCACTGAGTGTCATCCAGAGCTTTTCCTGGGGAATTAGTGACAGAACAAGAGGGAAAAACCTCAGGTTTTTCCAGGGGAAGTTCAGGTCGCACACCAGGGAGAATTTATKGACTGAAAGRGTTGTTAAACATTGGAAGGGGTGCTCTTCCAGTGGAGTCCCCATTCGTGGAGTGTTTAAGGAACAYCTGGATGTGGCACTCAGTGCTCTGGGCTRRGTGACAAAGTGGGGACTGGCCACRGGTTGGATTTGATGATGGAGGTCGTTTCCAACCWAAAAAAWTCCAGGATTCTGTGATCCAAGGTCCCTAAAGCTCCTTCTGAACAAGCCTCACCCCCCTCATAAACAATAAACTAAATAAAGAATTCCAGTGGTGGAAYATGAGATCCTTCTTTCTCATTCACTTTGTATTTTTGAATTAATCTCCCCACTAATGGTGAAAAGCAGATTATTTTTAATTTCATGTTGCCACTGCACCCACWGAAGGCCAGAGCTGAAGCCAAAGCCTCCATCCTCACCAACATCCATCCATTCTGGGGGAATGATCCGACACTTCTGCCTCTGCTTCAGGTTAATGGCCAACCACACAGGCACTTCCACGGGCAAACCAGGATTGAAGGGACCCAGATCCCCCTGGAAAATAAAATTAAGGATGAGGGAAAGGCAGCAGCCAGGCTCAGTGTGCACAGAAGTTGTCTGCTAATGTGGTGTGAGTTTCCAGAGGATTTGGAAAAGCCTGAGTCAAACAGATTCTGTATTTTCTCCTCTCACTTCCCATAATTCTTGCTCYCAGACTTTTCCTCATCTCCCTTGAGAAGGAATAAGCGATATTTCTAGTGCATTTTCTGTTTCAAAGCGTTTCACAGGAGTTACAGCCACAAATTCTGTCTTCCCTGGACATGGAGCCTCTGGGTTCACCCTGGGGGCTTCCAGAGGGTTCCCAGGTTCTGGTCAGCACCAGGACAGCCGGACACTCCCAGCTGGGGGCTGCATGAACCCCCAGAGCTGTGGGGACCTCCCAAACCTCCTGAGAGCTGTGCTTCCCTCTCTCCCCACCATTCCCCGATCCCTTAATCCCTCCATCCCCTCCATCCCCAATCCACCCAGACCCTTCCCCATGA